CACACATTATTACTACTTTTCCCAGTACCCAATCATTTAAGCACTTTGCTTTACATAAGTATCCAAAATTATATATATATTTTTTGAATTCTTATGGTCCTTGAGTACAAATGTAAATTTGCACAGCCATTATGAAAAACCATATAGACATTCCTCAAAAAACTTGAAAGATAATAACATATGATCCAGCAATTTCACTTCTAGGTATATACCTAAAGGAAAGGTGTTTGAGTCGGCTTTTTCATTGCTGAGACTAAAACCTGACAAGAACAATTTTAGAAGAGAAAAAGTTCATACAGGGGCTCATAGATTCAGAGGTCTCAGTATATTTCAAAATAGCCAGTAGAGAGCCTTTTGAATTTCTAGAAAAAATAAATAATAAATGCTTGGGGTGATGGATATAACAATTACCATGATCTCATTATTACATTTTGTACACATATGTTGAAATACCACACTGTACCACATAAATATGTGAAATTATTATATGTCAATTATATATTTTTTTAAAAAAAAACTTTTATTTTACAAAAAATTTGCATCTCAAGCAAAATTTGAAGTTTTTCTAATTTCATAAATAGGTTCTTTAGAATTTCTTTGTCCAGGTAATATAATATACTTCAACAAATCTATAGATTTTTGAATTACCACAAAATTGATGTATCTCCATGAAGGGAAGTTGACATTTCTAAAACTTCAAATGAATTATTTGGAAAAAAAAGATAGAGGGCACTGAATTCTCCAGAATTTCTGGAGTATGCACTGAGTGAGCAGTCAGCTTTTCTGATTGCCCTGCTGGATTCTGCTCTAAACCACAGCTGCTCTATGCAGCACTTGGTCCACCAAACACATTTTAACTGCTAGTCAATCTGTTATTAACAAAGCAGCCAAAAATGCTGTCATGGATTCTTTTATAAGTTTGTCCTTAACAACCAGAGCAGAATTTATTAGTCATTGTAATTCTATAAAGCCATAGTCTTCAAATCTTCTTGTTCAACCACCCACCATTCTCTTGCATTTAAATTCAACATTTTGCAATGCTGTTAATAAACTTATTAATTACAAAATAGATATGAAAAATACTCCCAAATCTTTTAAATCATTTAAAATAATTTTAGGTATCCTCTGACACTGATTTCACTACTGTCAAGTAATTAAATCATTTTCTCATTTTAACTAACCCTTTACTTTTTTGCCTACTTTTTTTCCCATGACCTACAACTTTGTTTTTCTCAACTATTTCCTCTATATCTTTTCATTTTTTGTATTTATAATTCTGATTTTAATTTAGAGTCACCTACTCTGATGAAAAATAGCACATGCAGCTGAAATACTTTTATGTGACAATGTTGCCAAATATACCTTTTATTGCATCATATTTAATGTGTCCAAAAAGAAAGGCCATTGTCTACTGGATAATATTTTAATTTCTGATAAATTATGATGTATTAAAATTACATTTACAGGCTTTTGGTAATACTGTAATTTTTACTTATATTTACTTTAATCCAAGAAGTTTTTAAAAATACTTTTGTTCAAATTAAAAGGGAATATTCAGCAAATGTTTTGATGTCATAGGTAAAGCCTATCAATATAGTGCTTAAAATATTGTCTGTCCTTCATATGATGGCCAGCTTTTATTTCTTTTTTGTCTCTTGGGTAAAAAGAAACATCTAATGATTCTGAAGTATCTAGGGATCAGCTGAACTCAAGCATCCCTTTGAGAAACTTACATTAGGGAAAATGAATTCAGAGTTAACAAGTGTCATTCTCATTGCATAGCCTCTCGACCACTAGAAGAACTCATAATCATTATTTAGAGCAATTACACATAAAATACATGGATGCATCATTTGTTTTCAGGCTCACTCATTACCAATGATAAGTTTATTCTCACATTTTTTAGTTTGATTCAGAAAAGTATTTATATTGGCAATCCTTGATTATTCATTGTATAATCATAATTAGTTGTAACATAATTGGATAAACAGTCACAGGTATAGGGGTAAAATATTTCATGTAATAAAATTTTCATTCAACTAGGAAAGAGATTTATCTCATTCATCTTCAAATTCCTCCATAATTTTAATCAGTATCGTTCACATAGTCATTAAACATTACTTTCTAAATTAAAGATCATGATTAAAACTGCTAAAATTATGCTGGGCATGGTGATGAACACCTGTGATCCCAGTGGCTCAGGAGGCTGAGGCAGGAGGATCACAAGTTCAAAGGCAGCCTAAGCAAAAGTGAGGTGCTAAGCAACTCAGTGAGACCCTATCTCTAAATAAAATACAAAATAGTGGCTCAGTGGTTTTGTATTTTATTTAGAGATAGGGTCTCACTGAGTTCAATCCCAAGTACCGCCCCCCCCCACAAATAAAAATGCTTTACTTATATCTAATGTGCCTTTTATCAAAGATGTTTGTTCCCAAGATCTAAATTGATGACATTTAAAGTCCCTAGTCATTGTTTTTTCCTTAAGAATAGTCAAATTCCCAATTCTCTGTTCTAAGGCAAGCAATTCTGTTTTATCAACACCTATTGATTATTATGAGCTCAAATTTCCTTTTTGTATGAAAAACTATTAAGAATTAAATTTCTGATATGTCACTCTACACCTTTCAGGAGTAGTTACACCTATATAAATTGCATTAGTTCCTGCTGCTCCTTCAAATTGTATGTGCCAATCCTACTGAAATAGTTGCAGTTCTCCTAATGTGGCGTATTTCATAGCTCTGTCTGAACATGAAATTTCCTTTACTGAAAATACCCACCTCTTTTTGGTCTGACTGTAAAACTTCTGTTTTTTAAGACTTGGCACAAATGTTACTGCCTGTTTGAATTATTCCATGAACCTTCTAAATGGAATGGATTATTTATTGCTTTTGTGAACTCCACCACAAATATCTCTATTACTACATGAAGAGAACTATGTGTTCTCTTTCTGTCTTTTATATTAGTCAGTTATCTTCAAAGAAATAACTTATAAGAAGACATTTAGAATATTTTGTTTTGCAGACTAAAAATGAATAACACAAAAGAAGGTAAGTAAATAATCCCATTTACAGTAGTATAAAATATAATCATTTCAAAACAAACATTAACAAGGAGTTGAAAGACTAACATGCTAAAACATCAAAAAACTGACAAAAGAAATTAAGCAAGACACAAAATAAATTAAAAGAGATCCATGTTCATGAACTGGTAGACAGTTTTGTTGGAATGTCCATACTATATGATACAATCTTCAGATTTAACACAATCTCTTTCAAAATGAAAATTGCATTTTTATATAAATTTTAAAAAAATGACCATAGACCAAGGAAGCAGAATAAAAAAGCCCAGAAATAAATCCTCACAAGTATAATCAACTTGTTTTTGACAAGGGTACCAAGAATACACAATGGGGACATATTAGTGTCTTTAATAATAGTGTTGAAAAACTGAATATCCATATGTGAAAGAATAAAATTGAACCCTATCATCAATATACTTAAAAATCAACTCAAAATGGATTAAGGGCTTAAATGTAACTGTAAAACTCCTAGAAGATACAGGAGAAAAGATTAGGGATGCTAGTCTTGGCAATGATTTCTTGGATATATCACCAAAAGCATAGTCACCAAAAACAAGAATAGACAAGTGGGATTAAATGAAACAAAACAAAACTTCACGTAATAAAATAATCAAGAGTGAAAAGACAGCCTGCAAAATTAGGAAAAAATATTTATAACCAATATCTGAAAAGGGATTAATGAACAAGATAAAAAAGGAACACAAACAACTCAGTAGCAAGAAAATATCACCTGATAGAAAATGATCAAAGTGGGCTGGGGATGTGGCTCAGCGGTAGCGCGCTCGCCTCGCATGCGTGCGGCCCGGGTTCGATCCTCAGCACCACATACAAAAAACAAAGATGATGTGTCCGCCGAGAACTAAAAAATAAATATTAAAAGAATTCTCTCTCTCTCTCTCTCTCTCTCTCCCCCCCACTCTCTCTCTTAAAAAAAAAAATATTTAAAGAAAATGGTCAAAGAAATTAAATGCATATATTTTTTCCAAAGAAAACCTACAAATGGTTGATGGCTATATGAAAAATACCCATTTCACCAATCACCAGGGAAATGTAAATTGGTGAGAAATGAAAATTATCTCACCTTGAAATCAGTAAGCTGTGAAGATTCTAGATCTTCAAATAATGATAGCAAGAATCTAACACTGCATAACCAAAATGGCAAACAAGTCAGAGATTTCTTCAAAAAAATTAAAAATAAATATAACATATGATCTAGAAATCCTAGGATCTTAAAGAGATATTTGCACTCCCATATTTATTTTGGCATTATTCACAATAACTAAGACCTGAAAACAACCTAAATATCATCAAAAATTGATAAAGAAAATGTGGTACATGCATACAATGAAGTTCTTCCAATTTTAAAAAAGAAAAGAAAACTCTTCATGTGCAACACCACAGGTAAATCTGGAGGACACTATGTAGTAAAATAAACTAATCATAGAAGGACAAATACTGCATGATTCCACTTACATGACATATGTAAAACAGTCAACTCCATAGAAACAAAGTAGATTGATGGTTGTGAGGACATGGGGAGTAGGGAGAGGTGGAAATAGGAGTCACTGTTTGACAAGTACAAAGTTTCAGTTATGCAAGATAAGTAAGCTTTAGAGAGGTCTGCTGCATATCTGTGGGATTACAGTTAATACTAAGTACACACTTAAAATTGTATTAAGATGGTAGACACCATATTAATTGTTCTTACCACAATAAAAAAAGAAATACTTGTAAATTCTAGTGAAATTAATAGAATTTTATCTGTATACTTTTACAATATAACTAAAGGTACACTTCAAAAATAGTCTTAAGACTAAATGTTTCCTTTTGACAATGCTGAAGTTTCTATATTCACAAATTATTTTTAATTAATATAAACATTCCCTTAACTTTCCTGAATAGCACTTGATTTCATTTTTACCTGTGTATTCAAGATGAAATCCTGCAGCAGACACACTGATGTCTGATTGAAAATTTAGATATAAATTATTAGATGTACTATTCAAAAGATGGGGTATTGTTGTTCCTGAAATGATAATGGAAAAAGTACATCAATGATCACATAACAAAAGGTAGAGTTAAAACTTAGTAAACTCTTAATTAGCCAATACATTACCACTAAAATTATGTATTAGTCAAAATGTTTTGTGAGAATATTTTAATAAAAGTATTTCTCCCATAATCCTTTTACATTTTACTGTTCCTTACTATCTCCCAGAGATTGACCTTTGACAGATGTCTTTAGATAGTTCCCCCAAAATAGATAGAAGTAGAAGAGCTGGTGAAAGTCAAAGCAGTAAATTTTATAGGTCACATAGAATTAGTGTTGTTAATTTCACTTAGATTTCAACATTACATGTATGAGTAATAATAAACTTTATTTTAAAAATTGCAAGTGATTTTTAAGGCAAAACTAAGGACTTTGTATGGGTCCAGAGCATATAGTAATTTATTTCCATTTATTAATGAAATATATATAATTCTTCAACAGGTTAAATACCTTGATGTTTCTTACACTGGCAGTTAGCTTTCAAAGAAAAAAAAAATCCCATTTTGAACTGTTAAACTTGTCTCTCAAGCAATGTATTATAATGGGGTTCTTGTTAACTTCTGAAGAAAATCAAATTTTTTCATCCAATTATTGAGTTAGAAAATATAAAATATTTACTTGAGTGAATTATTTCTTCACCATTTGATACAAGACTTAAGACTACACTGTAGTACTTTCTAATGCCAAGCAATTTCAAATGAAAATAATTTTCAATTCTTACTCTGTTTCAAGATGAAGTACATACAACAAACATATCAATTCATATTATTGTCACCTTAAAAGTAGATGGTTACTTTATACTTGCTTTGTAAATTATGTGAACCTCACCCCCAATAACTTTTAGAAGAGAACAGGAAGAATTCCTTACAGAACACACAATTGTTGTTGTTTTTTTCTCTGACCTTCCTTTGTGTTCCTTAGTGTCCTAACTGAATCACTGAAGACAAGGGTATTTACCCAAAAGGTCACTAGACCTGCCTTAAGTCTCTTTAGAGGATTTTAGTGTTTAGGAGCTCTAACTCTGGAGTCACACCATCTGGGTCCAAATCTCATTCTAACATTGGTTGTGCAACCTCAGGCAACCTAATCTTGCTGATTTCAATCACTACCAGGACTGCTAGAAAGACTCAATGAGAAAATGTGTAACAAGCCTAACACAGAACTAACACCTGATAATCAACAGTTGTTTTCTCTTTATCACTTTTGTCACCTTCTCTTTATCACTTTTATTTTTAAGGAAGTATTACACTTAACCTATTATGATAAAAGTATACTAAAACATTAATGAGATGTTTCCTATCTGGATCTCTTTCTAAAGTAATGTTTATGACTATGCCAAACAACTCCTGCTCCAGATATTTTTTCCCTTCCTCATTGGTGATGCTGGATAATTCATTATATTCCATTTAAAAATCTCTTAAAAGCTTGAAATCATTCAACTTATTTTGGTTTAGTATATGTGTTAGAGTCTGTAAACAAGTCAAAATAACACCTGGCATTTTGCCAGGGGAATGTTAAAGTTCGTAAACAAGTCTGGATGGTGCCTGGCAAAATGCCAGAGGGAGTGGTTTGAGAAGTAACAAAAGCGAGCCATTAAGTGTGGAGATTCCTTATTGGTTGACTGATGTATCTAGTTTATGCTAATTAGATAAGCTCTGTGGAATGTATAAATACTGCTCCTGTCCTGCAATAAACGGCTCCCACTCCTGCTGTATCAACGTATGCAAGTTGTTCGTCACCCCCGGTTATTTTGCTGCAGCCGGACTAAGGCATATATGAAACGTTTAAGTTGATCATTTGGCTATGTTTCTATTTGTATTACTAAAGCTTAAAAATGAAATTATAAAAATGTAACAAAGTAAAATTTGATTTCTGTTTCTATAGGATGAAAGAAACTTTCAAATCATCGCATAAATTTCCTTTAAAACCTTAACAAATTCAACAGAATATTTAAAAAGTTAGATAACATTGTGCACAACATTTTCCTTCTGGTATTATTACATGAATAGATAAATTTTATATCATTTTACTCATCTCACAGAAATAATTTTGTATTTTCTTTATTCTCACATAAATACCTTATATAACATTTATCATACTACATAATCTCTAACTATTTTAATGACTGTATAGCATGCTATTGAGTAAATATATTATAATTTCCAAGCACAAATTTTATCTATTATCACTCATCCTACTTTTTTAAGAAAAAAGTCACACACACTATTCCTGAATGACAACTCAGTAAAAATATTACCATTAACATAAAAGCATCAATTAAAAATCATACAAATAAGAATACTACAGGTTTTAAATGGCAATTTTGACGTTTCTAAATTTTTAGATTTTGAAATTTCTAAATTTATAATTTAGTTCACTGTGTATAGTTTATAAAAATTAGATTAAAATCAAGACATAGTTTTAGGGAATTCTTTATATTCCTAATTTTATCTGTATTGTAATTAAGTTCAGATCTCTTCTTTACCTGAATAACTTCCAAGTCTTGGAGCATTATTGTCTCCACCATCATAGAAGTCCAGAGAATCCCAATTATGTTCTGTAGCAAAGCTAACAACTTGCACCTGTGAAATAATAATTACTGATAAGAATGCAAATATCTAACCAGATACATATACTATAATCTACTATTTCTTCTTGAAACAGATCTCAAAGCCTGGACCACATCATTTTGCCCCCTCATAGAAGGGTTTTAACAAAACTGATCTTTTTCATTAAGGCACTGGCCTACATGAACTGATTTTTATAAGAAAAGCCTTATGGAACACCCAGCAGTGTTTATTATAGTTTTTTATAATACTGAGAATATCCACGGCTGTTTCACAGTATTCTCTTTATTAAAAGCTTGGGGTTAATCTAATGACTCAAGAATTCCCATGCATGTTCCAACAATAAATGTTGATTAACATTTATTATCTTGAAGTATTAGATTATTGTCAGTAATCAGGTCTTCTCATTTACTTAGGTTTTAGAAAATAACCAGATTTGTGGTCCACAAACACAAAGAAACTTATAACATATATTTTAACTGGATTCATTTCCTTGTGTAAACTTTGTTCAATGCCTACTCTTTGTATCATTTTATTTAAAAAAAAATTTTTTTGTAGTTGTAGATGAACAGCATGCCTTTATTCTGTTTGTTTATATTTATATGGTGCTAAGGATCGAACCCAGTGCCCCGCACATGCTAGGCAATAACATTATCACCTATGGAAATTTTAATAGGTTTCCTCATAGATGACCTAAAAAATACATGGTAACATATGCAATTTTAAACAAGTTTTTTTTGTTGTTGTTGTTTGTTTGTTTTTTGTTGTTTTTTTTGTTTTTAAGTGAATGGAGTCATAATAACTAAATCACTGTTATGGTCCCTTAAGTAGAAAAGGAATATGATGGAATTTAATTTTCTGATGTCTATTAACTTTTATTTAAAGAAAGAGACATGTGTTACTTTGTTGCACATCACTTGGCCCAGCTTGAGCCTTTCCAAGAACCCACAGGACCCTCACAACTGTGGAGACTGTTTTGCTCTTTGTTTACTATTTTGAATTGTTAAAGGAGGAAATGGAAAAACTTTATTAACACAAATGTATTTGTTTAGCTAAAGTCTGTTACAGATATAGGTACTTTACTTGTTCACTAAGTACTTATGACAATTTTATTCATTAAATATTTCTTGTCTGCAAAACAGTTCATCATCATTCTTCCATTCAAATGAATGCTGTACTTCTTTTCCAGGGGTGAATGCCACATGGCAATAGCTATCCTTCCTGTGTGGTTGGCAACAGACCTAGTGGCTATGTTCCAGGACAAGAAGACCAGGAAAATTCAAGCTATGATTGTTAATATAACCACACTTCCTGAAACAATAACCAATTCTCTCTTCATATCTGAATTTTCTAATTTCTTAAATTCAAGAAAAGATTGCACTGAGCTTAAAAAAAAAGGTAAAGATTTGTGCAGGAGTTGATATTTGGACTGAGTTTAAGGTAATACGAGTTTTTCAACTGAAGGAAATTATATAGTGTGTAAAAATGTAGATGAGGCAAATCATGAACTGGATTTAGTGAACCATCAGTAATCTAATTTAGCTACAGTGGAGGCAATTTACATAAGAGGAAATATGCATGCAAAGTTAGAAAAAGCATAGAAAAATTAAAAAGAATGGAGTTTAGTGATAAATACAAGAGATTTCATAGTCAATGTGTCTGGTTTGCAACTTCCTGACTTCTTCTATTTACTGGCATATGAAACCCTGGGAAAGCTGTTAATCTCCCTGTGCCTGTACCTCAGATTATTTACATAAATCATTGTATTAAGGTATCTAATCCATAGATTCGTTGTAAAAATAAATTAGTTAATATGTTAAAAAAGGCTTAGAATAATGCATAATGTATATTAAGGACTCAGTGACTCTTAACTATGAGAGAGACTGAGAGAGAGACTCATTAAAGACTAAATACCAGCAAAATAATTATGCACTTGAAGGTACAATTATACTTTCACTATTCCATGAAAGGTTTTAGAAGTAGGAAGAGAAATATAACCAGAATTATGCTTTAAGTACAGCACTACACAGCACTATGTGAAGAAAATAAATGAGAAAAGAAAATTTCAATCTCTATTGCAGTAATATTTCAATATTTATTGCAGTTGGGAAAAAAAAAAGAAACAAACTGGAAATAGAAAAAGAAGAAAGGAAGACCCAGAACTCACATGTTTTGCAGTGGGACTAGAGGAGTAAAATAAAAAGGTAATGTGTAAAAACAACTTATTTTTTCCCTTATGTCATTGAAAGCAGAGGGTAGCAAGAACAAAAATGCAGACATCTCCAAGAAACCCTATTCCATGAATTGGAGGAAGAAAATTTGTTTAATTCTGTAAACATGTATGTAAAGGTTGGATAATAGCTATCAAAAATACCAGATTCTAATTCCTGGAGATTATCAATATTATATGCAAAAAAAAAAAAAAAAAAAAAAGGTCCTTCAGATGTGATTAATCTGAAGATCTTGAGATAGAAATATGTAGTGGGAAATTCAAGAAAGACAGAAGAGAAGAATGCAATGTATCCAAAGCAGAAATTGAGAAATGTTCCTAGAAGCTATGGAATTCAGGCAACCACTAGATGCTGGAAAAGGAGAGGAAGGGATTCTCCAAAGCCTAGAGCAGAAGAGGATCTGACAGCATCTTGATTTCAGCACACTAAAGCTGGTTTTGGACTTCGGGCTTCCAGTACTACAAGAAAACAACTTTGTGTTGTAGCTATCACGTTCATGGTAATTTGCTACACAACCACAGGAATTTAATATAATTTGCCACTAGGATTCTCTGCAAATTCTGAATATGTTTTGGCATAATAAAATCACAGAGGGTGTAGAAACATGAAATAGCCAGAAGAACTATCCTGTGTAGCTATGAGATCTTTTAGGAGACTTAAGTAAATGATTGAAAATCTACTGTGATAGAAAGTTTGATAACAGTCAATAAAGAATTTAAAAAGAGTTAGCCACTGACTCAGCATTCAGAAAAATGTTGCATTAGATCAAATTGTCCATCATGTTAATAAGATAGTTTTATGAGGTAATTTCCATTCATTGAAACCAGGCCCTTGGACTTTGTTAAGAAAATTATATGAACTCATGATAGATATGTTATGAATTCAAGCAATTATGCAACCAACATTTTCCCATGGTTCATCACATAAAGATCGTTATTTTCTTGATAACTAATACTGTTTGTTCATTTAGAAATCATTTCTGTAATATACTCTGCCAAAATAAACAGGCAAACAAATGAATCCATTACTCCCCAAAAATATTTCATGTAAGGGTCTAACAAATTGGTCTACTACTTGTTGAGGTTATTTCCAAAGAATGCACAATCATTCTGAATTATTATAATTTTGTACACATTTCAAATACTTCTTAATTTTTTCTACCATGGCTATCTTATAGCATGTCATATACAAATTACTGAATATTCATATAGTTCTTTGTTCATACACATATTCAGTCTCTCCCCTGTCAAAAAAAATAAATATTGCTTTAAACCTTAGATATTACCAGATAAATTTTAAGTGAAGTTAGTGAAATTTCAAATATAAGCCACATAACACATGTATGTGTGAGTGTTTAAAATATACTTCACATGTTATAAGATTGCTAAACATGGTGCTAAACTCAAATTTTATTTTCTAAAGTGAAATCATTAAGCAAAATACTTCCTGAGTGAAAGATTTTATAGTGTCATTAATATGTGTCCAGTTATGAATAGTGTTTGCCTAGGGAAAGTGATGTACAACAGTTTTTCTGCCACGTTAATTCTCTAAAATAGCCCAAACTACACCACTTATGGAGTAATTCATTGATTATTCTAAAAAATATTTACTTAAGTTATACTGCCAGGCCTCTCTTAGCTAACAGAACAGACTTGATTACTACTCTCATGAGTTTGCAGAGAATCAGGTGACAACATTTAAATGTAACAGGTGTTGTGACAAAGGAATTAGAGGGATCTTTGAGAACATAAAGGGAACATCACCTTTTGTTAAGTTCACAGAAGGTATATCACAGGAAATATATTTAAGTCGAGACAGAAATAAGGAGTAAGATTAAGTCAAAGAGAGTGCGATATTGGAGAATGCAACAGGCAAAGAAAATATGCTCAGGATCCACAAGCAACAGAAAGAACTGAGAGTGTATGAATAGAATAGGCAAGAATGAGAACAGAGCACGAGGCTGAAATCACTATGTCAAAGAGTTAAAGACACTATGGACAATTGAGGAAAATGATAGCGTTAGATTTTAGTTTTCATAAGTTTGCTCTGTTTGCTCCATAAGGAATGGACTAAGGGAGAATAAGTACCTGGGTAGGGATGATAGTCATGTGAACTTAGGTAGTAAAATTATGGATGGAGAGAAACAGACTTATAAAAGACAGACCTGGCATGTTTTGTTATGCAGTGTAAAAGACATACATACACACACACACACAAATCGAGATTTCTGGTTTCTACAACTGAATGACTGAGGGCGTCATTCTGAGACAGAGAACAATTTATAAAATCTACAATTTAAGAAAAAGTCATGACATTATTTTTAGATAGGTTGAATTTGAGATGTCAGCTAGAAATATAGCTTAAGATATCCAGTGGATGGTTAGATATATTTTGTGCAACTTAGGTGAGAGATAGAGGTTAGATATATTGGTCTGAAAATCATCATTTATTCAGTCCTTTTTTTAAAAAAATATTTTCTGATAATCTATTGTGATTCAGGTTCTGGGCAACATTAACGTTGTAAGAACATTAGCTGAAACTGGAATTACAGAAAACAGTTAATAGTATCATATAAGCTGAGATGAACAAAAGGCACAGAATTTACAAACACTATTAGAATTTTGGGCTCAATTGGAAAAGGAGACCATGTAAGAGATGTAGAAACAAGAGATACAGAAAAAAGAATGGAACAAAAGCCAAGAAAAATTTAATATCATAGGAGCTAAAGAGGAAAAAGCACTTTAGGTGTGAGGAGAGAATCAGCAGGAGAGTGAGCTGATGACAGAGCAATCAAGATGAGAAATGCAATGCAATGGATTTAGTCATATACAGGTGTTCACTCTGAGAATGGCTCCATGAGAGCACTGGGTGCTGGAGCCACATTGCACTGTGCCAAAAATAGAGCAGGGGAGAGAAAAAATGCTAGAATTTTTGGTTGTTTTAAAGTAAGATAGAAACGAAGAAGCTGGTATCAATATATAAATGCTCTAGAATATCTCTTCTAAGCTTACAACCAAATGAGGTTGCAAAAGTTCTATAAAGTTCTAAAGATACCATCTCATTTCAGACCCTCTCTATTACCTGGAACATACATAATATTAAAAATCCTTGTAAGTTCACTTATAGGATTTACTAGTCAACTCCAAATTTTACAAAATGAATATAAAATTACAGCTAGCCAGAATGTAAACATATATCTATTATATTCTTTTGATGTCCTTAAAACTATGAAAATATAGTATTTCATATTTTGAAGATGATTTACTGGCCTGTTTTACTATTAATATATAACAACTAATTTTATAATGTTCTGAATAATTATAAAGATAAATTCAAGTAATTAATTTTTAATGAAAAATCATACTTCTAACTAAGGTGTTTTGTTTTATTTAACTTTTTTAGTAGTTCTAGGATTGAACCCAGGGTCTTGCATATGCTAAGCAAATACTTAGCATCTGAGCCATACCCTGAACCCTAATTTTAGCTTGAATGCATGGTGTCTTTGCTACTTTTGCCCTATTATATGTCTCTTGGTTCCACAAGAAAATCTTACAAATCAATTGCAGAAGTAATCTAGCTATCTTTATGAAATCTAGACAATGTAGTATTTGTAAAACATAATAACTGGTTAAATTGCTCCAAAAATGATCAACAATTAAAATCACATGGTAGACACTGTAATTTGCTTATAGAAGAGCATCCCTTTTCATTGGTCACAAAGACCCAGAGGAGTTCAACTAATTGAGAGTTGTGTATGTCAGAGGAGGCTGAGATCCTTGCCTACTCCAGGTACTTAATATTTATTTGTTGAGCCAAATAATAGTAAATCTTTGATTATTTCCCAGCTGCTTTAGGATTGGTTATGATTCCAATTTTTCTCAGTAAGAACAAAGGGAAAGTCTGCTGGTAGGTTTCTTAAAATTTTTTCTTAATTAGTGAAAAGATACATATGAGACATTATCTTTTGGCTATTGGCCATCTCTACATAAGGCTGTTATGCCTAGAGCTTTTGAAGTTATCTCAAGATCACGTGAAAAAAATATCAAACAGAAATCAACATATTAGGGATGACAGAACAGAGAGAGGGAAATAATTGGGTCAGGAATGACACAGATTTGAAATAAACAACCCTTGAATCATCTTACCTCAAGGTTTCATGTCGTGTGTGGTAATGTCATTTATAGCTTGTCCCACCTTGAATTGGCTTTCTGTTTCTTACAGGTGAAAAGTATTAATAACAAATATCTTTCTATTAAATTCAGACATGTCAGTCAAAACCACTTATTGAACTTTTAGAAATAATATCCATTCTATCATCTCTGAACATATGAATTGCAATATACAACAAAAGGGAAAAAACAATTAAATATCCTTACTTGAATGCCAGCTCCCTCTGGTACTGTGATCTTCCATACACAATTTAGATTGTTGTCATAAGGCTCAGGATATCCAGGAGACAAAATAGTCCCTTTACGTTTAGTTAAAATTCCCCCACAGGGCACTAAAAGTAAAGCAGTGTAAGACAGGGAGTTAATATTAATGGAAAGAACTAAAATGAGAACAAAGGTCATAGATAACATCTCAAATGGATAATAGACTTATAAACAAAAATCAAATTGTACTTTTTAAAAAAAAAACTCCTAAGAACAATAAAAATTAAGCCTTTCTGTACTTAAAAAAAAAACTTAAAATCTAGAATTAATTAAAATCTAGAATTAATTAAAATTAATTAATTAATTAAAATTAATTAATTAATTAATTATGCCACAATTAATAATAGAATACCATTTTATTATATTTACTAAAAACTTCATTGATTACATTTTCCACAAAATAATTTGTCTCTAAATTAAGGGTTTTTTGTAGTATTATTTGAAGTTTTTTGGCACTTTCTCCTACATGCATCCTCTCAGGAGCAACACTATTCTCTGAAGAGTAATGACAATGATGGTAATAATTATGGTGTGATGACTGCATTTATATAAAGCCTACCATATGCTAGGCATTCTTCTAAACACTTTACATATTTTATTCATTTAAATCTCCCAATATCCAATGAGATTTGAATAAGCTTTCATTCTAAAACAGGAAAAATAGTCATTATGAGATTAAATGTCCTCTTCTTCAGTATGCAAAATAGAGACAACCAGCACTAATTTGCTCCTCCATGGGATGAAAATAAAGCAACAGGTGTATAACTGCTTATAAAGCTGAGAGGCTGTGGGTGAGCACTGGAAACTGACCTCATAAAAATGAAACCTGGTAGATTCCAGAGACTAAGGAGAAAAACAAAGCAAGAAAAGAGGAATACCCTAGATGGAACCTGGCACTTTAGTGAGGGGAATGGGATGGTAAAGGTGAAAGAGAAATAGTCACAGTGCAACTCAGAAGGCTGCACTTGCAGGAAAAACAACAACAACAAAAACCACAATATTTCTAATCAATAGCTGACCTGGAGTCTAAATAACATGCTAGCTTTAGAGGAAGCATCAGACTATCATATCCAGACGTCATCTCAGAAGAGACCTGTGGTTAGGGACTAAATCACTACAAGGATCAGGAAACCAGGGAAAATCACATCTCAAGGATGCCAGTGACACCCCACTGCACCAAGTGGATATGTAGCAGCCAGAAGAGACAGGTATGCCTTAGGCAAGTGTCTCTAACACAAGCTCATTGAATATATGCTACAGGAAGCACTGGTTACCACCAGGAGGGGAGTGGAAGGGTCCTAGTTCAGTAATCCTGCTCTCTATGATATAAAGGGACATTAGTCAGTTACCGTTTTGCTAGGTGCCAGGTCTGATGACACCTGGATCAAAGCCAGTAAATTGCTCAGTTCCCCCAAACCCTCTCAAACACAGAATTCAGTGATTCAATTGCTCTTTTCAGGGGCATTGTAAGGATCTGCTATGGCTAGAATACTTGCAACAGCCCTGTGTGTGAAGCCTAAAAGCCTCCTGAGAGAAAATATGTTGGCATGGTCAACATTCCCTTAAGCTATTCAGCAATAAAGGTGAGGTACAGCTTGCTTTCACCCAACTCCTCTGGTAAGACAGACAGAAACTACAATGAAAAGCAGTTACAATGCACTGCCCTTACCCCCACCCCCACCCCCACACACCTGACAGATTCCAACCTTAGAAAATCATACCTTCTAGTCCACCCACCAAAAAAAAGTGTCCCCAACACTTTAGCTAGGAGAAATTTTTACCTGTTTTTGTTCCTTTTTTGATTATTTTATTACTATTTCTTTTTGGATCTCATTACTTTTCTTGCTTTTATTATATTTTACTTTTATTCCTTTTTGGAGGGGAGAGGTACTGGGTGGGGAATTGAACTCCAGAACACTTAACCACTAAGCTACATTCCCAGTTCTACTTTTTTATTTTTTATTTTGAGACAGGGTCTCACAAAATTGCTTAGGACCTCACTACATTGCTGAGGCTGGCTTTGAACTTGCCATCTCCTGCCTCAGCCTCTTGAGCCACTGAGATTACAAGTATGCAATACCACACCTGGCTACTTTTATTTTTAGTTGGGTTATTCTCTCTTCTTTCTTATTTTCACATTCCCTTTTTATTTTTATTTCTATTATTTTTCCTCTTTTTGTCTCATTTTTAATATTTTAGTTATCTATATTATTATTATTATTATTATCCTTTGTCTTTCTCTTTCTGGTGCTAAAGATAGAAAGAACTCAGGATATTGTGCACACTGTGTAGATGCTATTCCTCTGAGTTATACTCTCAGCCCAGCTGAGAGGAATTAAGAGCAGCTCTAGCTACAACTCATTCACTATAAAACCCTGGCATAAACTTCTACTTAAAGCAAAGGGTGGAATCTAAGCTACCAACTATTTTAGGGTACTCACTATAATTGGAACAGTAAACATCGAACTGTTTTCAAGTAACAGAGTCAATTTCAATAGTGCCCATGGAAACCCTAACCTCTAAAACAGACTTCAACTCTCATTTTAAGAGTAACCACACAGGGTGCACCCTACATATCTGGGCTCTATGCCACACCTGAGTTACCAGAGGAACACAAATCTTGTGAGGCCTAAAGAGTAACTGGTTCCTCAGACCCAATATAGCATATGAGTCAAAACCCACTAACTACAGCCAGAAAAGACACAGGGAAATTACACCATGAAATCCAATTGTAAACAAACACAATACTATACAACAAACTGCTACTCCAAGCTATTGATTATTAAGAGAATACCATTTAATAAGAAGCTTCTCAAACAAAAGTGGAAAAGATAATCACCCCCATAGATATATAAATGTCAGCAGAACACAAGAAATGTGAAAAAGCAAATTCACTATCTTATAGCAACAGATTTCCAGGATAACAGAATACATAAAATGCTATATATATAAAAACAATGATTATTTTTTGGAGAACAATGAATTCCAAAAGAAAAATGAAAAACAACTAATGAATTAATGAAGGGAATTAATGAGATATTCAATAAGAGTATGAAAAATAACCAATAGAAGTCTTCAAAATGAAAAACTTAATAAGTCAGAAAACTCTAATGAAAGTCTCACAAATGAACTACATTAGAAGAAAAAATATCAGGGCATGAGATAAGTCAGATGATTTATAACATTCAACAGTAATAAAGAAAAACAAGAAAGAATAAACAGAAAATACATCTTGGGCATCATTCAAAGGTCAAGCATATGAATGTTAAGAATATATACGGAAGAAGAGTTACAGTCTCTTGGCAAAGAAAACCTATTTAGTGGAAAATAGCAGAAAATTTTCAAATCTTGGGACAGATGCAAACATCTATAGTAGAAGTACCCATCAACAGATAACTGAAATGTGTATATACATACATACATATATTTCATTCATAAAGAAGAACCTTTCTGCAAACTATTATAGATCAATTAGTTAAAGTACGTTATAGAAAAAAGAATATTCAAAGTTACAAGAGAGAAGTGCCCAGTCACATTTAAAGGCAAATCCACCAGAGTAACAGTAGATTTATCAATAGAAACACTAAAGATCGGAAGGGCATGGAATGAAGTATTCCAAATTCTGAAAGAAAACAACTGCCAACCTAGATTACTATACCCAACAAAGTTATCCTTCCAAATTGATGTTGAAATAAAGACCTTCCATGATAAACATAAACTACAAAAATTATGATAACTCAACCAGCATTACAAATGATTCTTAAGGGAATCCTTTACCTGGAAGAGAAAGAACAGTAAACACAAACATGAAAGTTCAGGAAAGAATAAATATCACTAAAAGAATAGATAAGAATATGAGAATTAGGAAAGAATACAAAACATTATTAATACAAATACCAATCAAATTTCTAAGAAGAATAGGAGAGGAAAAGTAAAATGCAACTCAAAACCAGAAGGAAAACAACTAAATGACAGGAACAAGTACATATCTTTCAATAATTAGCCTGAATGTAAATAGTTCTAATTCTCCAATTAAAAGACACAATTAGCTGATTGGATTTAAAAACATGACCTAACAATTTGCTGCATGCAAACTCACCATGCTGACAAAGACATACACAGACTGAAATGAAAGCATGTAAATTTATATTCTAAGCAAACATAATCCCAAAACAAGCAAGATAAGCTATATTTATATTTTATGAGACTTTAAGCCAAATTGATTAGAAAAGACAAAGAAGGCCACTACATATTAATCAAAGGAATATTTAATCAAAAAAGTTATAATGATTTTAAATATATAAATGAAAGACCTAAGCAATTTCATTCTGCTTTGGATCTTATTTTGCTCTGAAACTTAACCTCTGACTTATTATAGTCCTAAAGTCAGGAAAAAAAAACTACAGAAAAGCTCTGTGGAAACAGTTCTCTTCTCGGAAAAGCTGGAAAAGCCGCAGATAGGCCAAGATAAACACATATCTGAAATTCCAGATGGCTTCCACCTAGGTGTGGTGACCAGTATCTAAACTAGAAGCCCTGCAGTTTGGCATGTACTCCCCTTGCGACATCCTCTCGGTTTAAACCAATCAGTTTAAATGAATCCCCCTCTTGTAGTGACCAATCCCCCCTACCCAACTTGTTCCCGCCAGTGAATGTGCTAATCATGTTTTAGAATTGTTATTTGATTTTCCCGCGGTGTGTGATGATTTGCTAGGAGATGCTATGATGTATGTGGGGGTCCCTGCCTTCTCCAAAGAATGTATAAAACTGCTGCAAAACCTGGGCTCAGGGCCTCTTAGCGTCACCTGTTTCTGTGTGTGTGCGGAGGATCCAGCTAGCTCGCAATAAACACCTCTTTGCTGCTTACATCGATCTTGGGTCTCTGGTGGTCTTTTGGGGGTCCCGAATTTGAGCTTAACATAAACACTACTGGACATAAAGGAAGAGATAAGTCCTTCAATACTCCACACTCTTACCAAGGATCAAATAATTAACAAAATAACATAAATAGTGTAGTTTAATTCTGGATAGTCAGTGAATTATTGGGTAAATTAGGAGGAAGTTAGAA